GGCAGGCTCTCAGGTATGTGCCTTGGAGGGGTGGGTGGGTAAGAGAGGGACTGAAGGCAAACTCTTTGATGCAATCATTCAGAAATTTTTTAAAAAGATTTTATTTATTTATTTGACAGACAGAGATCACAAGCAGGCAGAGAGGCAGGCAGAGAGAGAGGAGGAAGCAGGCTCCCCGCTGAGCAGAGAGCCCGATGGGGGGCTTGATCCCAAGACCTTGAGATCATGACCTGAGCTGAAGACAGAAGCTTTAACCCACTGAGCCACCCAGGCGCCCCCAGAAATTTTTTTCTAATCAGGGTGTGTCCATGCTGGCTTGGTGCTGGACTAGCACAACCGTGGAGTTTGGCTGCGGACAAGTGCACTGCCTCATACTTGGCCTGTATCTCTGGCTTCCCAGAAAATGCAGCAATGGCTGCATTGGATGCATTCGCAAGGGCTGACCTGGTCCTCATAGCTGCCATCTGACCCTCCTCTCTGCCTCCATGTACCACCCATCCCCGTCCCACGACAGGTGGGATTCACTGGCAAGGAGAGGTTGCCAAGGCAGTTCATGAGTGGATGGAATCTCAGCTTTCCCCATCCACCACCTAAGGGAGCTGGGTAATGCAGCCCAGAGGGAAGGGGAGTTCATGGCCTTGGGGCAGGATTGTGGTGAGGGGGGGCTTGGCACTTGACCAGTGAGAGACAGGACTTAGCAAGGACCCCACAGACAAAGTGTCTGTTATGGATTGTGTTCTGTCTAACCAAAAGATATGTTGAAGTCCTAAACCCCCATAACCTCAGAATGTGACCCTATTGGGAAACAGTCTCACTGTAGAAGGAATGAGTTAAGATGAGGTCTGATTGGTGTGGGGCAGCTCCTAATTTAATATGACTGGTGTCCTTATAGGAAGAGGAAAGAGAAACACAGTGAGGGAGGAAGGCCATGTGACGAGAGAGGCTGAGATTGGGGTGCTGTGTCTACAAGGCAAGGAGTGCCAATGAGCGCCGTCAGGTGCCAAAAGCCAGACAAGGCAAGGACATCTCCGCCCTACAGGGGTCAGAGGGAACATGGCCTCGATGACACCTTCATTCCAGACTTCTGGCCTCCAGAGCTCTGAGGCTCCCCATCTCCTGGTACCTGTGCCCTTGGGATGTCCCTTCCAGGACAAGGAGGTTGTGAAGAGCTTACATAATCTCTCTCTGGACCCGAGGAAGTCAGCTGCATTTCTCTGGAGAGGCCCACGTGGCAAGGAACTGACCTCCAGCCAACGGTTGTCAAGGAGCTGTGGTCTCTCAGCTGACACAGGAGTGAATTTGAAAGCAGATCCTCCAGCCAAGCCCTGAGCCGATGGCAGCCCCAGCTAATGTCTTAACTGGAGCCTCCAGGAGCCCTGAACAAGGGACCCCAGCTGGGGAGGGCCAGATTCCTGACCCACGGAAACTGTTTGGTAAAAGATGTGCCTTGTTTCAAGTTGCTAAGGTTCGGGGTCATTTGTTACACAGCCGTAGTTAAATAATATACGCCGTCTCATTTTTCTTTTCCCCTCGCTCCTTCTTCCCTTGAACGGAACTGCCCCCACGCCCATAAAGCTTTAGCAACTGGACTTTTGTCTTGGGCCTTGCTTTCTAGGGAAGCTGTTGCCAACTTCCAGGGCCAGGGACTTCCAACTTGAACCAAAGAAACAGAACATCATTTTTTTTTTAATTTTTATTTATTTATTTGACAGAGAGAGAGAGAGAGAGAGCACAAGCTGGGGGAGTGACATGCAGAGGGAGAGGGAGAAACAAACTCCTTGCTGAGCAGAGAGCCTGACATGGGGCTCAATCCCAGGACCCTGGGATCATGACCTGAGCTGAAGGCAGACGCTTAACCGACTGAGCCATGTAGGCGCCCCCAGAACATCATTTTCAAAATCAGAAATAACCATCTCCAAATGTGCGTCAGGGTCTTACCAATTTCTCCCAACTGGGGCTTCTGGGTTAGACCATTTGTGTCCGACAGAATCATACCATGGACACCAAGGGTTTCTCATACCGATTTTGGACTTGTGTTGCATTGCTGGGACCGAAGCCGCCCGCAGCATCCCCACAGAGGATCCTAAAACGGAAACGCTGAGGTGGAAACCAGAGAAGCCGCAGTTCTGGATTCTCCCACCCATCTGCGACGATCCTTCCGACATATGACTAAGACAACTTCTTTCCAGTGATCAGGAAATAAGGGCTTTTGATTTTTTGGTTAGTGGGAGAGGTGGGGGTGGGGGGTGGATCTGGTTTTCTGTGCCTTTTGCTTTTCTTCTGTTTCACTCCTCCAGGCTCACTTCTAAGCACCGTGTTAAAGATCGACTCCTCCACATACACACCCCCTCCCGCCTCCCCCCGGGTTGAGCAGGGACATGGGAAAGAAGGGAAATTTACATCAAGCCATTTTCTGTTTTAGGCACAAATCAAGGCTTTGCTGGGATTGAGGTAATAAGTGTATCTGAGACCTGTGTTCCCACTAAGTCTCGTCAGGGTAGGAGGGAGTGTTGGTTCTATGGGAAGTCCTCTGGGCAGCAAAACTGAATATTCTTTCTCTTGCCACTCCCCTTCCACAAACAAACAACAACAACAACAACAACAACAACAAACCCCCCCCTCCAAAAAACAAAACCCAAACGAAACTGAACAAAAACTTCTGGCTTGTAGAAGAGACTCAGACACTAACGCCCTGCTCCAGTTTCGGTCTGGAAGACGGACAGTGACTTTCATAAAAGGAGCTGGGAAAATTCTGCAATTCTCTTCCTGGACCCTAGTGCAGCATTTCTGCTGGTCCTTGGGCCACTGACAGACTTCAGAAGTGGCTCAGGACAGAGGAGCAGCACCAGCCCTCTGGGGCCGAGCCACCTGCCACGATGCCCTTCCGGTAGCCGCTGCCTGTCTGAAAGGGCATCTCCAGGAGACAGGCCGCGTGACGCACACAGCAAGGAGCATCGGTTCCCCCAGTGTGGCTGCTCACTGAATCCTCTTTGCTAATAATAACCCCCGCCAACGCCAACACCAACGCCAACGGAGCGATTAAGCTGTGAGCACATTCCAGGGGCTCATCAGGATACGAGGGGTTTTACCCCCAGAGTTCGTATTCAGGGTTGCGCCCACTTGGGATTTTAGGTTGGGTTCAGCTGACCCAGGTAAGGTTACTGGAGAGGGCTCCTTTCTCCTTAGGTCTTAGACTAAAACCACCCCGAACACCTCTCGCGACCTCCGGCCACGTACTGCCCCGATTTCTTGTCCTCCCGCAGAGCAGCCTCTCTACCTGATCGGCCAGGGAGTGCTCGCAGCCGGGGAGGGGTCAGCTCAGGGCAGACCTGGGCATCCCACACGCATTTCCTGAGTCCCATGGAGTATATCAAAACATGTCAGGTGTGCCAACAGGTCGTGGGGCTTGGAGGACCCCTTCCTTGAGGTAGTCTACACACACACACACACACACACACACACACACACTTGCCAAGGGAGTGGGAGGGGGAAGGAGCTGTTCAGAGGCCGCCTGGGAGAGTGGGGGCAGGGGACTATTCAATCAGGAACTGCACTGAGAGGGCTGGTAAGGGACCATCATGCTAAGTGACAGCGACTGCATCTGAAGGATGGTCGGGAATATGGGCATTGGCGTCAGACCCGGGGTTCAAGTCCTGGCTGTGTGGCTTAGGAGCCCAATGACCTTGGTTGGGCAAGTGATGTAACCTCTGTGGATGGGAGCAATACCACCTGCCTCGTGCGGCGGCCAGGACAATTAGGTCATGCACACAAAGCTTTCGGTAGAGTTTCTGGCCCATTACAGTTGGTCAATAAAGGCAACCGTGAGCGCCATCCTGCAACTAGGCAGCGCGCCACAACACGTTCACGCATTAGTCGCTCACCTGACAACCTGGAGAGGTGGGTAGAGCAGGTTTTTACAAATGGGGGCAAGAAGGTGGTGACGATGTGTGTAACTTGGTTTGCGTGGGGCTGCAGCGAGGTCTCTTGACCCTTCGAATACTGTGGCCACCCCCCAGTACATGTGTATCATATAACAGGCTAGCACGGACTGCTGAGCTTATGGGACGGGGGATATGCGTTAAATGTGGACAGCCGTGCCCCCTGTGATTTCTCCCTGGCAACCAGGAAAACGGAGGCCTTGGTGGCTCATCACTCGCCTGGTCTCGCAGGAGTTCCATGGATAGTGTTAAGGGGAACCGTGTGCCACCCTCACGTCCCCCTCACTCCGTCGGCCAACTCGCCCAAGGACTTTTCCTGGGAGGGTTGGGGGGTTTAGAAGCTTCAAATCCAGAGTCTGAGTTTCTACAAGCAGCAAGGTGACGGAATGAAAATGTTGGCATCTCTAAGTGCCCACCTCCCTCTACACGGTGGAGGGGAAGGAGGAGATGCTTGGCAGAAGGATGGTTCTGTTTCCCAAAACTTCTCTTAGTGTTTACATCCGGGAGTGGAACCCTCGGGACACTCATCCCATTTGGTTCCCGGCTGACTTAATGCTCTAAAAAATAACTCCCTCTTCACCTGACCGCTGAGAGTGACTGCCAGGAGGGAGGCAGCCCAGTTGGAGGGAGAGGGCTGCCCTCATGGCTGATGAGTCAGGTGTGAGGCCAGCTTGAGCATCTGGACTAATTTGTCCCGAGCTGCAGGCCGCCTGCCACTTCCTCCCCACCCGCCCTTATTTGGATGCCCTGACAGCTGAGCCGAAAACCAACTGGGGGAGCTGGGCGCCGGCCAACTGTCACCCTCTGTCTCCCTGCCTGGGTCCCGTTGCTGAGGAGAAAGGAGCCCCAGGCATCGCTGTAAGATAACCAAGGACTCTTTTTTGCTCTTCTCACACCTTTGAAGTGGGAACCTCTTGAGGCAAATCAACAAGAATGTGGCTCTTGCAGCCGAGGGTCCGGGGCTGTTAGGGCTGCTCAAGGTGGAGGGGAGTGACAGGCTCTGCCGGACTGATAGCTTTAAAAGGCCATCTTCTGCTGCTCCTCATTCAGCTGCTTTATCGCTGTAAGTGACAGAATGGGGAGGGTTCCGTCCCTCTCGCGCTCTTGGAGAGCTGGGGGGCTATAAAAAGAGGAGGCGCAGGGCAGCTGGGAGACAGAGGCGGACAGAGGCTGAGAGGGGAAAAGAGAGGACAGAGAAGCAAGCCAGCACCAGGCCACTCCTTGAGCGACGGCAGCATGGGCTCCCCCACCGTCACCACCAGCTTCCTCCTCTTCCTGGCATTTCAGCTCCTGGGGCAAATAGGAGCTAACCCCGTGTATGGCTCTGTGTCCAATGCAGACCTGATGGATTTCAAGGTAGGGCCAGGACAGGGGCCCCAGTGTGGGACCAGGGGGCTTTGTGACACTGTGCAGGTCAGTGAGACCTCTCCCTTTCCCTGTGTGTTCCTTTTGTAAAGAATTTGCTGGACCACTTGGAGGACAAGATGCCTTTAGAAGAGGAGGTCGTGCCCCAACAAGTACTAAACGAGCAGAATGAGGAAGCTGGGGCGGCTCTCAGCCCCCTCCCTGATGTGCCTCCCTGGACAGGGGAGGTCAACCCAGCCCAGAGAGATGGGGGTGCCCTTGGGCGGAGCCCCTGGGACTCCTCCGATAGATCTGCCCTCCTGAAAAGCAAGCTGAGGGCACTGCTTGCTGCCCCTCGGAGCCTGCGGAGGTCCAGCTGCTTCGGAGGCAGGATGGACAGGATTGGAGCCCAGAGTGGACTGGGCTGCAACAGCTTCCGGGTAAGAGGAGCTGGGAATGGATATGGGATGGGGAGGAAGGAAGTTGTGGTTTCACTGAGACTCAGACCTTGTCAAAGACCACCACCAGAGCATGCCTCCTGCAGTAAAGAGAACAGAGTAAAGTTTACTTCCTTTGAAATGTTTGTCTCAAGTTGGGCCAATGACGTCATGCTCAGCTATAGGCTGCCAAGGACATGCCAAGGGGAAAAAAGTTACTGCCACGAGCATTGGGAACTTAAAATGTTCATGGGGCCAAGTCCCCCTCATTCTGTTGATTGGGAGCTCATGTTTCTCCCCAGAAGTGTCAGATCCCAAAGAATTAAATGATAACGAGCAAGGCTGGGGCAACTGGGTGGCTCAGTTGGTTCAGCATCCGACTCTTGGTTCCAGCCCTGGTCAAGATCTCATAGGTTGTGGGATCAAGCCCTGAGTTGAGCTCCACACTCAGTGGGGAGTCTGCTTGAGATTTTCTCCCTCTGCACCTCCCCTCACTCACCGGCACGTGCATGCCTGCTCTCTCTCAATAAATACATAAATAAATCTTTAAAAAAGAAATAAAAACCAAAAACAAAAGAAAGTAAATGACCAGAGTTGATTTATGACTTCTAATGAACAACTTGTGTCCCAGTTTATGAAAGTTCCAGGATTGTCAGGCTGGAATGGGAGCTGGTGGGAGGTGAGCACACTCCTGTGAAGTTGACTTTTCTAATAGGACCACGTCACCAAGACAAATTTGTCTCTGTTCTCTTTGTAGTACCGAAGATAACGGCCAGGGAGGAAAAGGCGGGCCAGGCCCCGGGGGCAAATTTCAAGAGACCCTCATCCCTTGGGGTCTTTCACTCAACTTTGTCACATCTCATTGCCATCAAATCGAGCCGTGACGAGCACCATATTCAAGCTGCAGCCTCTTGTCAACGTTTCTCACATTTTATGCTAAATGTAGATAAAGTGGTTTAATTGTGGCTTCCCCACCTCTCCCATCTCATGCACTTAATTTTAGGATAGACACTCACCTGTTACGAAAGCGGATTGAAAGTGAATAAATTTCAGCACCACGGACAGAAGCCAAAGGTTTGGTTGGCGTGATTTCTTTCTTTTTCTCAGCCTAATAACCCGGTTTTCCTTTTGTGGCAGAGAAGAAGACTGTTTCTTTCTCCTTCCTTTTAAACATAATAAGATTTATTTTGGGTTGCAGTTTTGGGTTCACAGCCAAATTAAGCAGAAAGTACAGAGATCTCCCATAGACCCCCTGCCTGCACACACGCAGAGCCTCCCCCACAAGCAACAGCCCCCAGATTGGTGCCTTTGTTAAGCAAAGTGAAGAAAGAGATGTTTGCTTTGTTGACAAACTGCCTTTTGGGTACTTAGACTTAATTAAAAGGTAGCCACCAGCTTTTTCTAATTCTGGTCCCAGGTACTTGGATGGGTGAAGGGTAGGGTGGGGGCGGTGGAGGGGACTGGAGAAGATGCCATTTCTTTGTATCTGCTTCTAAGGAGCAGAGAATGCCAGGCACCAAGTTCACCCACAACAGGGAGCCATGCTCTACACATCCCCTCTCCACGTCAGAATCTGACATTCCTCCAACCCCCTCCCCCTCTGGTCACCGACATGCTCACTTTTCCGGCCCTTATTTATCCTGTCCCTTCCTCTTGTAATGCCATTTATCCAGTTCTCCCGAGAACATTCTACACAATCAAGGCTCATGGACAATGCAAATTCGTCCCTGAAGCTGTCCCTGATACCACGTGCTCGATATGAACTGAGCTCGGCACCGGTGGCGTTTTGTGTATAACAATTATAATATGACGCAATTTGCCTTGGTAGATGGTCATTTCTCTGTCCCTGGATTGTAAACTCCTTGAAGGTCAATGCCTGTTCAGCACCACTGCAGGACATGGCCTAGTCCGTGCTTTCTAACGTCAGCCCAATTGTCTTAGTCTTGTATAGAAATCAGGAAAAGGGGGAGTAAATAGTCATTCACTCTTTATAGGAGGAGGGGAGGCCAGAAATGAGTTGACAGGGAGTGGAGCGGGGAGGGGGGTGTAAGATCTCTAATCTAGGGGAGCCTGGGTGGCTCAGTGGGTTAGTCTCTGCCTTCGGCTCAGGTCATGATCTCAGGGTCCTGGGATCGAGCCCCGCATTGGGCTCTCTGCTCAGCGGGGAGCCTGCTTCCTCCTCTCTCTGCCTGCCTCTCTGCCTACTTGTGATCTCTATCAAATAAATAAATAAAATCTTAAAAAAAATCTCTAATCTAACCACTTCCAACAAATCTCTTCTTCATGTGGACTTTGAACACAGAAAGGGGGGGGGGACCAAAAAGCAGAGGATTGGTAAGGACAGGAGCAGACAGGAAAAAGTGTCCAAACATGGCTCCGGAGGTCCGGGGAGTGGGAGCTGCTAGGAGGGAAGTGTGGGGAACTGGGCAGACTGCCAAGGGGTCACTGTGACATGGTGGATCCTCCTCAAATGGAACGGACAGTGCCAAATGCACAGATAGTGTCCCTGGAGTTCAGGAAACCCGGGGACAGGTGGAGAGGGACAGCACTGACGGAGACCATTTCTAGTGCTGGTGGAATGGCAACTTGAGGCAGATCAACTGAAGACCAAGAAAATCCGATTTCTGGCAAAACAGAGAGCCGAGACAGATGGCAGCACAGAAGCCAGCCCCAAATGTCTACAGCCTTGGCATTGATTGTACTTCTTCTGGTTGGGTATCGGGGAACCTGTGAGTGGGACAGACTCCTAAACACAGCACTGTCAGAACACACACAGCTCCTCCGTCTCCTGCTATGGGCAGCAGCAGCTGAGGGAACGGGTAGGTTTTTATGGGAGGAAAGCAGCTGCAAACGAGATCATGTGGCATTGATTTGAAGGGAGAGAAGACTGGGAACTTCGTGATTTTTGCTAAGGACTAAGTTGGGAGCAGGTGGACCCCCGGGAATGAAGTCTTGCTGGCAAGGCTTTAGAAGGAGACCTCTGAGCCTGTCGATCTACTCTCTGGCTTTGTGATGTTTACATTGTGGAAAGCGTAAAATGAAAATCACATACCACTCTACAACCAGCCCCATGGAGACAAGAGGTTAAAGGAGACAGATGAACACACTTTATTCTGACATGTTACGGTTACAATGAGAACTTCCAAGTTCCAAAAGTTCAAATAAAAATAGAATTTTACAATTAAAAAAAATTACAATGTATGTACACAACAGAATTAGCTAGTATTACTCTCTAAACCAACAGTGCGAACAGAAAGGAAGCCTGCCACGGTCGGGAGCTGTGGGATAATACTGCACATCGGCACTACAGGGACTCGGACGGAGCTTCCGGCCTTTCCAGGGGCTTGCTTTCTTTCCGACGACTGTGTCAGTGCACAATTTTGCATCAGAAATGTCAAGCAGGCAAGCGTCCATCCCAGCCAGGAACCGTTGGTTAAACAAGGTCATGAGCAAATCCTTCCGGAGCGCCAAGGTCCCAGGGTCGGGAGGGACTCTGGCTCCCTACCTCCCAGGCTCCTCAGCTGGGGAACGTGAAACACCTAGCGGGAGACGGGCAGGCACACAGAACACGGGCCTGCCCGAGCCCCCTGCGGCTGTGCGTGTGGACGTACCCCACCGCCAGGGGGCGACGGGGCTGGTAATAGGTGAGACATGGACAACGTGGGTTTCTAACTATCAAAGGAGTGAGGCTTCCAGTTATTTGTTACAAGTGGGGCAGTGGTTCTCTTTGGGCTAATCTGGTAAGGGCAGACGCCCACGGACGACAAGAAGCAACGTGCCTTTCCAGACGGGCCTGAGTTTGGGACCTCGTGGCCGTGCAGTCAGCTCATGCGGAGGGAGGCATGTGTGTTCTGCCAGTTACCTCTGGGCTAGTCTAGTGGGAATGAAGTGTCTGGGGACCGGAAGTGCAGGGGCGGTAAATTCCAACAACATTCACCCAGGGCAGCTTCGAGGCAGAAAGCTGGTGACCCCAGAGCCCTGGAGGCCAGACGTTCCCCCCAGCAGGACCTTAGTCCTGCCAGTTTCACTGAGGTACGGGAAGAGGGGATTCGGTTTCTGTGACAGGCGGTCCTGACTTCTCCTGACTTGGGTTTCCCTCTTGATAAAAGGAACAAGTAACACGGCCTCGCTCTGGGTGCTGCCTTAAAATGAACGGGCGGCGGGCTGAACACGATCACATCCAGAAGCGCTTGCCTTTTTGGTCCTTGTGATTTCCCCAACTACTTACTGGGGGCCCCCATCCACATTTCACAGGTCGAATGCATCCAAGGAAGCTGAAACATTTAGAAGTCAAAGTATTTTTGGTCAAAGAGATAAGAAAATGGGAAGGATGGACGGGGGTGGGGTAGAGGGTGGAGTCGGGTGGGAAAGATCCTTAAACAGCCGCCTCACTTAGGGGAGCAGAGCGTGCTGAGCACAAGACCTGGGCCGGCCTCAGCGAGACAGGCGCTCGCTCCCAGACTGCACGGGAGTCTTGGCAATGGCGGTTGGCCCGAGGCAGAGCGCGAGAGGACAGCGCTGTCAAGGGCAGGCGCCCATGTTCTCGGGGAACCACCACAGCTAACAAAATAACCCGACGCAAACTTAAATGCAAATAAATGCCTTCTTGAGTCCCAAAGCACATCCACCACCGGGCTGCGTGACCCCAGGCCTAGGGTGTGGACGCAAGTCAGGGGGAGGGCACAGAGATTGAGAGGAAACTAAGTGCAAAATAGCCAAAACGAAGCATTTGCTCTGGGGGCCCAAGGGGGCCCCCAGAAAGGGCCCCCCAGCCTGGAGAGACAGAGAGTCTCCTTTTCCAGGGTTCGTGCTCGGGCCTTGGGGCACGTGCGGGCGGGGGTCCCTCCCACCCCTGTTCCCTGGCAACAATTTCCATGGCTGGCCCGAGTGGGCTGGGGACAGCTAGCGGCAGGGGTAAGACAGGTGTGTGACGGGCACACGCCCTCCTCCTGGAATAAGCCATCTGCTCTGTCCTAATCTGGCTTCTAGGCCGTATCATGTTCCTGTAGTGCTCACTGGCCCAGGACTGGCTTCTGCCCGTCTGGGATGTAACGGTATCATTCCCCAGAGATGGGTCAAGCAATATCACAGGGCGCCCTTTTATCTAATGGGGCGGGGGCGGGGTGGAGACACCTGGGCTGTGGCTGCACCTCCAGGAAGATACGTGGAAGAACTCAGGGAAGTCAGTAACTCGGGGCAGAGGGGAGGGAAGAGGGATGGGCCACGGTAAATGCTAAAAACTGGGGCGGCTTTAAGTCGGACCGTCCCATCGGACTTCTCCTTCAGGGACGGTCGTGGGACTTGTGCTTCTGGAGGGCGGCGCTTCTGGGAAGGTAAGCCCAGAGCAGCAGCTCCCCCTGGAAGCCGTGTTTCCCTTCAAATAAACTGGGCACCTGTCAAGAGTCCCAATGCAGGAAGGCCCACCTGACACGTGCATTATCTCAGTGGTTCAGTCTCTAAATTTGGTAATTCCCTTAATTTTGCAACTGGCTTTCGCCCCAGCACTTGCCTTGGCCAAAGCCCCTCCTGTTACAGTTTAAGGCAACACCTGGGTTCCCTAGGAAAGCAGCAGAAGAGGGCAGGAAAACTGCTCTGGGCATCACTCCCCCGTGGCTGAGGCCTGACGCCCCCTCTGGTCCTGGCACGCGTCGGGTGGAGGGGCCTGGGGCCGGGGCCCAGGCTGGACGGCAAGAGAGCAGGGAGCAGGGAGCAGGAAGATACTTGCTGAGAAGATCAGACAGGCCCAGGCTCTCGCGGTCCCACACACCATCCCCAGGACCGCTGACCGCCGAAGTGTTTGATGACCGCAGGCTTTC